CCCCCCTAAACAGAGTATAATTGTCGACAGAGACATCACTATCAGGAGTGTCTGGAGTACACCAAGCTTCAGTGATAAATATTAGGCAGGGGTTAGACATAGTCGACAACATAGTGATCTCACTTATTTTGTTGCTTATGGAACGAGTTAATCAGACAGAAGGTTAAAGAATTGGATAAGCAGTAGTACCTAAACCTGTTTTCGGAAAGCATTTTCTCGCAGGTTAGTTGGAACTGTGGTGGTGAAGAATATGGGGTAGAATTTAATTTCGGGGACATAATAGGGGAATAAGATACTACGGGTTACTACTAATATCCTTTATTGTGTTAGGTGTTGACCCACTGTATATGAGCCGGGAGGATGACAGGTTGGCGTAACACCTTCCCCGCCACTGTAGCGGTTGTGAGTTAGGATTGAGAGTAGCTGATTCGACAGCGTCGTCATCTGAACAGCAAAAGGCGCTAATAATTTTTGAAGTCCGCGAAAATTTGGGTTTTCAGAATGAGCCCTGGGTATGGGTGTCTGCGGAAATGAGCCAAGTAAATCTGTGGTTTCACTTTCGCATGGGAAGGGGTAGGGTGCATTATGTTGGGGAGCCAGTATCACAGGCTGCATCTGAACAGCAGGCCTCCAATTAGGAGGTGATATCGTTGTACTGGGGAGAGCATACATTGGATATGAATGTTGTGTAGATGGGTGTGAGGAGAAAAACCTATCGTTTTTCCTATAGCCCTTGTCTTCATGACTAGGGAGGCATTTGTGTTCTGAACATTCTTACGCATGTTTCCTTTCTTTTACCACCTTGGTGTATGAATCCTACCTTTCTGTTGGTTAGTGAGGGTGCCATAGTACTTGGTGGACGTCGTGAATGTGTCTGCGTAAGGAAACGGGGTCACTCTTCGAATGGCGTTATAACCATTAGGTTTAACAGTCTGAATATAGTTACTTCGGGCTGGCTAAAACGTTTCTGTGCCATTGGCTTTGGCGGTATACTCGAACTAGGACTTTTAGGTTTAGATTTTCGAAACATGGCACTTTGTGACCGTGCATTGTCAATACACCCAGAGGTCAACATGGTATTTGAGGGCGGTAAAGGCTTAACAGTGTAACTGCAGCTGGGTGATGCAGGTTTCGTCGATAAACTCAGAGGAATAAGGTGCATATCGGACTTATCATTATCGTTGCCATCCATATCAGCATCATCTGAGAATAAATCTGCGTAACTGGCGGAGATTTGACCTTCAGTTTCGGTGTTTACTACCATGTTGGATGGTGAAACAGTAGCAACTGATGTACTTGCAACGATATGCTCGGCCAGCCTTTTTCGATCTACGCTTACAGTGTTATCTGGTGTGAAAGGCTGACTCCCAGGCGCCAGTATGTTTCGGGTGTCCATTGGTTCTGATGAAGGTTTCGAAACACGTGTCCGTCTTTGACATGGGGTAAGATCTGGAAGTACCCTAACATTCGCACAGCTTCCTGAGGGTCTTACAGATTTCTGTGGGCTACAAAAGTGTCTCGTATCAAGGAGTGAGCTAAACTGGAATAATATTGGACAGGGGTATTCGCTGGTCGTCTTCCTAAGACGCCGGACTGTGCAACCAGATTCATGCAAACCACGGGCTTGGAGACCATTTTTAACACGTCTTAATGGAAAACTATCAGGGACATTGAGGACAATGGAGTTGTGCGACGAAGTCAATTGTCTGCTGGCTTCAGTGGCTACAAAGTTCACCAATGTTCACACTTGATAAGGTTATACACTGATTAGTCCGTTGCAGGGTTGAGTAGGCAGATCAGAGGTGTAAGACAGTCTAGTTTACGCTGAAGATCAGCAATCGCATTACTGTTGTCAACAATATTACGCTTAATCGCAATAACACCATTATATACGTCAACCATGACGTCAGACAGATCGACAGAAGGACCATTAATAAATAGGCCATTTTCAGACCCCGGTGACGGATTCGAAGCCTTTGATCTCTTAGCTTTATGGATTGGTTTGTTTACGACAGCAACAAAGTTACTCATTTTAAGGCTACAAGGCACGGACATAAAGAAGCAAAAATTTACTGTCTGACAATAAAATAGCAAGATTAGAGACTTATCTACTACACAGATTAAAGTTATTGGTTGTCTATCAACCTCGGCTTTTGCAGCAAACTGGTAGATGAAGCGGCAAGATGCTGCAACTTCCCGTCAAATAACGAAGAACATCGAAGTCCAGACTAAAGTTCACGTATTGACGAAAACCAGATACTTGCGACCAATAGTTGCGGAGAAAATGACAGCAACAGTTAGCAGATAACGCATATGTTTAGAAGCTTTAACTTGCAGGCGGAAGATGTAACTGTATCGTAGCCAGATTGCCAAAATTCAATCACAGCAATACCACGGAAGCAAACTCATGGCTGAAGCGAGGCGCCGAACGCCTTTTGAAAGTCAAAAGGAAAGCATAACACAAGCGGAGGACATCCAGAAAAGAATCTGACCACACTGTGTATGTTGCCCCTAAGAAGTCGATGTAACATCAGAGTGAGGGGAGACAGGAGGTCGTTCCAGACGAACTTTGCCAAGAAGCTGGAGACAAGCCCCAATAACCTATATCGGTTTATGGCAGGTAGAAAGTCCACCAGCCAGGAGGCTTGCGTCATGAAAGGCCTGGACGGAGAGAACCTCTCCGGACTAAAGATCGTCGAAGCCTCTAGCGCCACCTTCTATACGCAACTGAATACGTCCTTATCGAACCAAAATTACCAACTTTCCGACCAATATTCGGCACCACCAAATGCAGTAGAATTACCTGGAATAAAGGTAACTCCTGCAGTGGTCCTCGAAACACTGTCACAGCTCCGCACAGGGAAATCACCAGGGTTTGATGACATCCGACCGGCTGTGTTGAGACAATGCGCGGGTGCCTTGTAGGGTCCGCTGTGTAACTTATTTCAACACTCCTTGGACAATCACATGCTTCCACAAGAGTGGAAAGTGCATTTCTATCCCCCGTCTTCAAAGGTAGAGACAGGCAGAACCCAAAATGCTACTGACCCATAGCCATTCTACCAGTGGTGCCAGAAGTAATGGAGAGCCTGGTAGACGACCATGTCAAGGAGCACTTAGTGATGCTCAACATAGGTTCGGAAAGGGTAGGTCCTGCTGCGCAAACATCCTGGCGGCAGGTTACAAGTGGATGGCATCCTGGGACTTCCAAATTCCTGTCCGTGTTATTTTCCTGGATTTTGCTAAGGCCTTCGGCACAGTTCCACGCACCGTTTTTATTCGCAAAATAGCAAGGTTGGGCATCAAAGGACAAGTGCTTTCTTGGTCACAAGACTATCTAGACGGTAGACAATTCTGCACAAAAGTTGACAGAGTTTGCTCAACTTGGAGGACATCATCATCTGGTGCATCACAAGGGACGACTCGAGGTCTACTGCTATTCCTCCTGTTTGTGAACGATCTCCTACTGAATCTCAGCTCCCAAATCCTCCTGCCTGCTAATGATGTTAAGTTATGGGGAGCTTTGACGTCAGAAACAGAATCAAGGGCACTGCAGAGTGACCTCAAATTACTTGCAGAGTGGGTGGATAGTAATGGACTTGCATATGACCTAGATAAGTGCTGAGCCATGTTTCCCCGCACCCCAGACCCTCAGAAGGTACCCTGTTCTCTCTATGGAACACAACTCTCATACGCCACCACGGAGAAAGACCTGGGACCAATACTGATTGACAAACTAGACACTAGCTGCAATTATCCAGGAGATGTCTGCAGAGCCTACGCAGTAATGCACTTCATGCGCAGACAACTGGGTGCCCTGACCCCGGAACTCTTTTCGAAGCTATATAAGGCCTATATACGACCCCATCTAGCGGTACACAACTTCATTGCACCGCCATATCTGAAAAGAGACGTGATCCTCATGGAGAAAGTCCAAAGGTGAGCTACTAAGGGTGCCTTGGGAATGAGGCAGAAACCATATCAGGACAGGCCGAAAGATCCAGGGCTCCACTCCCTAAGCTACCGTAGATAACGTGGTGACTTTATAATGGCTTACAAAATACTAATTAACCCAAGTCATCCGAACAGCGGAATGCTGCAGAACGGCCACTATGGTGATCCTTGTGGTAACTCAAGGAGAATCGCCCACCAAAGAGCAAAAACCCGTGTGCGATCAAACTTCTTTTCTCCGCGAGTTTGCGGGGACTGGAATTCATCGCCTGCCGAGATTGCTACTGCTCTGACCGCTGACAGCTTCAAGAGGAGGTTGGACAGTTACGCAGCGACGCACGGTTTGCGCCCATCCAGCTGGGATGTGGACCAGGCTGACACGACCTACTAACTCGGTACGGCCAACCGTTGCTGAACACTTTGTAAAACCACTATCACTGGGAATTTGGCTCAACCTTATACCTCCCTACAGACGTCCTCTCCAGTCATCGGCTCCTACTAAAAGAATTACTATATTCCCATCCATCCTATCATGTTATTTATTATTCTTCCATCTGACTTTACGTTCTCAAACTTTAACAAGAGCTCCTCCAATCACCCCTTCCCCATAAACCTACCAATTTTTCTTCCTCCGTGCCGTTTCCCTCTTCCGAATCTTTTTTCTTTCTTTTCTCCTCTTTTTCTATTTTGTCTTCCTCTGCACTTTCTCCCCCTTGATTTCCCTTCACGTATTTTTCATCTACTTTTTACGGCTAGTCCGACCAATTGTCTGTTGGCGTGGCACTTGAGGAACCCATCTGCACCACAGTCTTTGGAAGAAAAAACAAACAAACAACACTCCGTACCAATTTCAACATCACTTAACCTCCCGTCAAGCTAACCGTAGCTACAGCAGCCGAGTGGTTAGACCTACTGCGTCGGAATCCACCAAAGACCTGGAACCATTCCGCAAGACCTAGAAGTGAGCGCGGAGAAATCAATTGGTTTACAGTAGCTCGTAAAAAGATATTGGGTATTGAACATTCAATGCGTGTCAGCATTATAACTCAATGCGACACGGCCAGTTTTCAAGTGACAATGTAACGAGAGTCCGTCGAACTTCATGTATTGCAAGCTTTGTAATGCCGCTTGATCACAGCAAAGAAGTTCTTGTTAAGCCATCCAATGTGGTCTTCAACCTTTCTGATCAAGGCATCGTCAACACATGTGAGGTGTTAATTGTAAATAAATCAGCACGATCGCTTCGTTTTAAAAGTAAAAAATTCATGTGATTTTCAGGATGTAACTTCTTCAGTTCTATCTACGGCCCGGTCTAGGTACACGTTGTCAACGTGTAAGGGTTTGCTGAAGTCAGGAGAGTTTGTGAAAACGTAAATATATTGGTTTCATCTAAGATATTTGTCAGAGATATTTCAGTTTCTAGGGTTCCCATAAATGATGACATTGCCAAGGATTTCTTCAAAGTTCAGTTTTTCGACCCAGTAGAAGGTTCCATATTTTGTAAGTCTTCGTGAGCTTAGAATATTTTATGACCCTAGCAATAAGATTTGCTCTCACTTTTTTTTGTGCTCGTGTTTTATACGAACTAGTAGAAATTCAACTCTTGAGCACTGATAGTAAAGCGGAGTCTATATCCTGAAAACTTTAGTTCTAGTGTTGTAACTACGGTATAGGTTTTCTATGTTTGAAACCATTCTTGTTGACCTGGCTTATGGTAACATTTATGTGGGACATGCAATTCTACCAGTATAAATGTCTGATCGCGGTCAGATATTCGGATGCATTGGATTTGTTCGTCATAATCTATCTTCCTGTTGTAGAGTAATCGGCCTGAATTATAAGTATCTGTGTACCGTGATTTAACTACAATAGTGTGGCTTTACCGAATGCACCAATCTACATATGGTCATTGAAACTTTTTTTATTGGCTTATCATTCTTCTAGGCAGTTTACTGGGCAGTCGTAGGTATCTTGAGTACCGTTGGTAGATTATGTGTACATTATTTCCATAAAGCAGTCGTTTCTGATGGGTTAATAAGAAAATAACTGGTCGAAATACAGTCGTGACTGATTGATAGCAACATGTCGTTGCGTTTCTGGCTGTTTTATAACCCTTAAGCAGTTTCTTAATCCCGAGTTCCTCCGTTGTTCTGTTAGTTTTTCGTGTGAATATGAAGTTCGCACTGATTGGGTTCGATGTTATTGCTCGTTCAACTTAAAATTGCTTTCTGTGGTGTGAGGTAGAAAGTCTTTTTAAGAAGCAACTTAAATCAAACGTGTACCTTCATGAAACTGTGTAGTCATACTTTATGCCTGTTAGTATTTTTCCTAGGCGAGTGTGGTGAATTTTGAGGGCTGCATAAGTGGTTTCCTACAAATTTGCACTTGTGAGTCGTGTGATTACTCAAATCACGGCGTTAGTTTGTCGTGCTGATATAAAACTTCTTACTTTACGAGATGCCCCGGACTTCCCTTACCGATACATTAAGTTTTTTTAAGGACCGAGGTTATAAAAAATATTTAGAATAAGTTAGGCCTGCAGTTAGTTTTGGATTTAGACGTAACTTTGGGTGACACGTAAAGACTTCTAAACCAAGAAGAACTTTAGTGGTTTTTCAGATTCAGTAATTATTAGCTCAGATGAATTGTTTATAGAGTATTTTAAAATTGGCATTTGACTGGATCACCAATTTTATCTACAACCCAAATGAAAGATTTCACAAGGGTGAAGAAGGTCGTTTACAATCACTTGAGGAAAATGTATAACTCTTTTTGTCATTCACTATTCCTAGATGAGAAGAATTCATAGAATGAAGATCTACCGAAAAATCAAATTTAGGTCAAGAGTACATAGAACACAAATATCACCGCTCTCTGTTTTATTGGTATGACATTAATTTTTCGGGTTTATTCAAAACTAACTAATTTTTGACTTGTCTGAAATATTTTAAAGGTGTTAATATCATATTTAGAACATGACGATTCCTTTCGAGATCATTCTCTTAGAGAAGTATAACTAATCTATGCAAACCACGTGACAGCTTACCAAATGGATTTGCGTGTCGTCGGGAAGATTGATTCATACATACACGCTCCAAAGTGTATGACATCTTGTGGTAAATTGTCATCCGAAGTAACCACTATGAGTACTTTTCAAGGATATACATGCCTTCCATTTTTATGAAACTCTGCTATGTATTTGTATGTAACTTCGCATTTTCCCTATTACTTTGAATACTTGAAAAACACATTCCCGTTGAGAAAAGACACCTGAACTAGTGTCGTAGAAACCATTAGTTATTATGTGAGAGTATACAGAAAGCACTCGCTTACAAAATCCAAATTGCCTCCCCGGGGTTAATATGCATCTGAACCTCTTGTAACTATAAGAAGTGAAGTAGTTGAGTGTTAGAACGAATTCCCCATCCACATGTACCACTTTTTAAGGTTTAATGGCCGATAGAGTTTCAAAAATCATTTTAGGTCTTTTCTGCCGCACTGCCAATGACACCAGTGATGTGTGGGGACCTATTCGGAACCACGTTTATTCTGCAGGAATGCTATCTACTACATGGTCACAAGGAGAAGGCTACTACTGGATGTTATAAGTGTCACTGAAGCTTTCTGAGCCTTTCCTGCTTGATGAACATCTTTGAGGTTATATCATTGTGTTAGATCAACTCTGTAGACCATAAACTGGAAAAATTAAGACTACGCACACCCAGTTAGTGTCCACTTCAGCATGCTTAACTAACTGGAAAGTGATGGGATGGATGAGGTCTCGTGGTAGTCAAGCCAAGGTATGACAAATTTATAAAGTCTGATTAGTTTTTCCGAGTTTTTTTTAGGGCATTATGGGTTGGTTGGTTAGAATCTGCAGAACGGTCATGGTCGGTATTTGGGGACTAAACAGTAAAACTTAGAATTGCTGAACTCACTGCAACTAGTGATTATCTAATGCATTTTCCACGACAATTTAAGCTTTTCCTTTTTTATTCTGGTTCCTCACTCTTGCTAGTTATACTTCGTTTTAATATTACTACTGATATTTTTGTTACATTGCTTTACTTTCTGTTCGCACTTGTCCTGGGTTTAACGTTTTCACATACCTATTTTGTTATCAGTGTTCTGTTATATCATATACCTAAGTTCTGCTCCCCTGCACGATGATGCATTGCCTTCATTGAAGTGATTAACGATTGTAATTATTTTTGCGATACGATGTAAGCTACACTTAAATAAAAATGCAGTCGGTGGTACCCAAGAAGTACTTGATTTGCTCCTGAGAAGGGCAGAAAGTTGCGCAACCAAGTTTTAAACGTGAGTTTTACTACCTTTTCCTTAGAAGTCCATGGCATATTAAAGTCATACAACCATTGTTAGTTTCGATTTTCGGTCAGAGTATCTCAGTTATGCTCAGTGACTTCATACTCTAGTAAATATTAGAGCAGAAATTATTATTAGTAGGATAATGCAACTCATTACAAGCCTATATACTAGATTATGAGTCATATGTAATGTTTTAGGGGTTATGGGACTATCCAGTTGTTCAGGTTTAAGTGGGTGAGAGTGAGACTTAAACTCGCGGTCCATTCTCAAAGAGCCGAATGTATAGGCCGATGACCTACACTTCCAGTAGGCATTAGAGTAAATGTTTGTCTGATACGTTAGGAAGTGTACATATCGGGTTGTTTATACTGAAGTAATAGTCTGACAATATAAAGTAGTTAAAGTTGGACTCAATTCATCTTGATCTTTTCTACTTTACTTGTTTCTGAAATTGTAGTGGGATTGGACCAACTGAACTACTGTACTTCCAAACCAGCTTGTGTTGCTACTAAGAGGAATTAAAGCATGCTGTTTTCGTTGACTAGTTATTTACCATTTGTGTTTTGATGGCATTTTTTAGGGTAAAAAAAGCAACACACTTATTAATTCCTCATGATTATTTTTTACCAAATGTAATACCCAGTTTTAAATCTATTCACTTAGGTGAGCACTATGTATGTTCAACTATCTCACGCAATCCTTCCAGTAATATTACCAGTCGTGATTCGGATTCATGTAGTACTTGGCCCAGTCGTTATCATGATGTTGGTTTATCTGTTTCAAGTCTGCGTACGGCGTCTTTATCACGTGCTGCTACAGGCTTGACAAGGTACGAAAAGCACCATTAACTCCGAAAGCCTACTTGTCGATCGATCGTAAAAAGTCTTCTGATCTGTCTAGCGTTTTTTTCTCTACAGCCAAAGCACAGAATAATCTACCAAATTCAAGTGAGTATTTTAAAATATTAATTCAGTTTGTATCCTTGTGTAAACATAGAAAGATTATAAAAGCTGGAGAGAATTATTTGTGTTTTACTTCACATGATACCGTTAGGCAGGACGGAACAGTAGTTTTGCCGCTTGTTTGCGGTTAGTTGTTGACATTTTCAGATGTATAATAAGGGATGAAAAGAATTTAAATTGCATGATAAGATGAAATTTACTTACGCTTTAGTCTTTTAATTTCTATAAACGTACGAAGCCATTACCAGCTATTAAAACAATCTCTTCGTTGAAATCGTTGTCAGATACCATCGATGAAACTGCGCTTAGTGCTACTTTTATATTTTGTTACCCTCTGTGTATCATATTGGGGTTATATACTTCATGTGAATGAATCCAATTCAACAGTTAAATACGGGTTCATATAGTAGTGCACCATGTGTTATCTTAAAGATGTTATCTAGTGGGGTTTGGATGAAGGCTAAGGATTGCCAGACCAAAGCGTAGCACTAGTTCATGAAGTCCTTGACTGTTGGACTGAACAGCTTGGGAAGGCGTATATGCTTGGATGGGGTGCCTGAGTTAACAAAAATCAGTAGTTGGATACTCTTGCTGAAATGACTGAAAATCTGTCACAGCGGTGCAAATGTGTTCACTCTTTGGCATCTTCGATAGTTTTAATATTTTCACTAACCTTTATTTGTTCTTCCCTTTCTCCCCATACACCTTTATCGAATTTCATATCAATTTTTCTTAATCGATTTCTTCTTTGCATTCTGATATGAAGTACAACGACTTAAGCCAATGTACTCCTGTGCAAGGTTTTGTGTTGATTTGTTTCTCTGTGACATTGTTGGATTAAAATTGGTCACTTAATCCAGTAAACTTCAACCGCACTTCATCGCTTATAAGAGTTCAGAAAGTACGAAATCAGATGGATAAGAAAACTAATAAACAGGTAACGGCAGCCAAAGGTATTCTATCTGGGAATCGTCGTTGCACATATTTTCTCGATACATATGTGTAAATGACTTGATATAGGTACTGCTAGAGAAGTACACATTGCACGTCACTAGTATAAATGTCTACTATACCCTTCTGTGTGAGCAATGGGAAGTCCAAAGAGATTCTCTGAGTTTCTGTTTGAAAGAAATCTTATAAAGTTATTTGTCTGCAAGAGTTAAATGGAATCATACCCTTTGTTTCTCCATTATTTTCAAGCATATAGATTTGAAAAGTACTTGTTTTAACATCTTTGGGTAAATTTGATTTTACTAGAGGCCAGTAAATAACTTTTGTTAATTGTGTCAAACAAAATGTTCACTAACGTGACTTCGAAATACATTTGTGACTCATCCCATATTGCATGGTGTACAGCTACTAGTTGGTCGATAAGACTGTGAACATTCAGCGACTGAGGTGGCTTGGACATGTGTTGCGCGAATGGAGCCATTGGCTAGTTGAAGGTGCAATGGTAGCAAAAGTTCGATTAGGTTCGAAGATGACTCAGGCTGGTCCGACTACAATGTAGCATCAGTCTATGAAGTCTCTGACTCTTGTTCTGGGCTGTGTTTGGTGTAGACTGACTGGTTCGAATCCTCAAGATGATAGGAGGAATCAGCGGTTAGAGAACCTTGGTGAAATTACTGAAAATCGGTTACAATGGTGCATATGTATTCCCTCGGACTTCGAAAGCCTGAGTCCTTTGACTAACCTTTTTAAATTTTCTCTACTTTCATACATCTTTGTCCACTTTGATACCAATCTTTTTTTACCCACTTGTTCCTTGGGTGCTGCTGTGAAGTGTAGCTACTTGAACTGATGCACTTCTGCTTTAGGCTCTGCATTAATTTTATCTGTTTATCTGTAGGGCTACTGCTCAGTGGCATGTTATGTGTAACTTTCAACCACATAGTGATATTTCTGAATCTCATTTTATCCACATCAGCTTGGATAACAGGAAAGTATTTTCTTTGGTTGCACTATGAGTCTCTTTCATGATCTTACGCTAATCTCCATGCGGTTGTTAGATTACAAAAAGTTTCTTTGAGCAGACAACTAAAAATTTGAGATAGTTAGTGCCAATCTATAGAATGAGCATACACAGTACTAGGACTTTTTCAGTTCTCTTTATTTTACGTCTATTAGTGTAGTCAGATGCCTGTATACTGATGGTATTTCTGCGTATTTTATCTTGCTCAATATGGATAGGAAAAAAGATATTTCATAATAAAATGCTGAGAGATGAATGCCTCATTCTTATAGTAACTGAAACCATTCTCACAGTAAAAGTTAATTGAATAACTGGGTATGAACTGGATCTAGCACCTCACGAGGAATGGCGTCAAGGTGGTTTCCTAGTTGTTATTGATATAGATATGATCATGAATTAGGCTAATGAGTTAATGTAGTCTGCCCTTGGGTCTGAAGAAGATTCTGTTGACGACCTTTAGCGTGCATATCTGATATATGAATCATGTAGAAATATCTTGTCTAACTCGTATGTGTATCACTGCTACGGTACATGTAACATGAGTGTGTCATTACAAGTTTTAGTCTATCGGGGTATGGTCGCACCGTAGGATGAGACTGTATAACTTTCTGGCGTTAAAAAGACGTAAAGAGTATTTAGTCCTTCTGAAAGCCGTTGTATAATTATCAATTTAAAAAACGGGCATATTGTTTCAGTTTGACGAACAGGTGTCTGAGATCCTAGGTTCTATAATCGTTAAACGCCAAAGAGAAGCTCGGAAATGGCAAATCCTGGTAAACCAGGCAGGTTCCAGGCTTGATCATGGATGTGTCAACCTGATATCTTCCCTCTTCCAGATTCTAGAGAAAAGGTACACTTATTGCTGTCCAGTACTAGCCGTACTTCCCGACCTGAAGGTAAGATTCAACTCCATTGATCGAAAGGTCTTGTGGCAGTGTCTATCGTTGAAAATGGTGCACGATAAATGCATAACACTTCATTAAAGGCTCTATGTTAGAGCTTATATTAAGGTGTCAGGTGATTTTTTCATGCCGAGTGGTATGTCAAGAATATCTACTCTCTTCATTCTTATTTAATTTTGTAATAGACGTACTTATGGAGTTCTCTATCTCTCCTCGTCTAACCTTACAGGAATTGATCTTATCACAGGCAACTCTTTGGTAAACCTAGTAAACTCATCACGTTCATGTCGAGTAAAAACGCTGACAAGTACTCTGGAAACCTTGTTGGGAATTCGAGATCGCGATACATTTCTCATCCAAATGCAAATTTTGCTCGAGGACTGCTTGGCATTGATGCCCCCTCGAACAGTAGGAAGTGAAGTGTTTGAGCACATCAACCGCTTCACGTACCTGAGCAGTAGGATGAATCCCTTTACTAACTTACACCATCTGTGACACCCTCTTGATTTTGATTGACCGTTAGGAGCCTAGTACACTACGCAACAGTTCGCATTGTTCTACCCTATGACTACGAAACATGACATTTTGCAGCATAAACCGTGTGTCGTGTTGCCACCGCTTCAATAATGCAAAGGTCAGAGGTAGACTTCTAGGGAGAAGAGGAAAGCCAGTTGAGGTTGTAAACAGTCGTTGACATATGTTACGCATGTCTAGTTACAGTCCACTCTGTTGCACAATTTCAAATGGAGTGGGTTCAAGCTGGAAAAGGTTGGAGGCAGCTAGGCTAAAGCATGATATTAGTCTATGAAGTCTTTGACCGTTGTTTTGAGTTGTGCAGGGAAATGTAGACTTCCTTCTTGGTTTCCTCATTTTAAGCAAAATACATATTTAGTGACTCTAGGGGATATGGGTTAGAATCGATATCAGTGATACAGATGCATCCAAAGATCATCTTCATCCTAATCGTCATTCCGAATTTTGTTATTGTTTCATTCCTTCTCGTTTTATGACTTTCTTATTTTTATGTTTTACCTTTGTGGTCCCTCCCTTGATGTTAAGTGTGGTGGCTCAGACTGTTAGACAGATTCCATGTTGATATTGACTGAATGATTGATATAATGTTTCTATTAGTTCTTTTAGTATGAACTTTAATGATTAACTGTGTAGTCTCATAAATACGAATATCTACAAATTTGTAGTCGATTCGTCTGAATTCATCGCATTATGGGTTTTGGACAATGTTATTATAAATTGCAATTATAATTCTCGTTACTTGTGTGCTATTCTGCACTATTAGTTCTAAGAAGGACAACGTGCAGAAATTAATTCACAATTTGATTTTAAGAAGAGCACAATTAGGTTTTTCAACGGTCACGGCCAATCTTATATATATTAAAAGTCTTTGATATAAAAAGGCTAATTACAAAATCGGAGAACGTTTAACCTGATGTCTTATTTATCTCCACTCTGTAAACACGTTTGTTATGTTTTCTTTCTGCTCTACGAGTTTAACTTTAAAGGAGTAGTGTGACCAATTATCAGCAAAAGGTTTGAATTACACTCTGGTAGTAACTGATTTACGCTGGGAAATAGTATTGTGGGCTTATAAGCAAAACTGTTGCTTGTAAGTGATAGTGTACAAATAAGATACAACACTTTTAGATTGTATTTGAGGAAAAAACACATTCTAACCGTCATGCTAGCTTTTTTCTTGCTTGAATCGATGGATATCATCCCATTTTTGTCCTTATGTCCAACTGAAATATCCTCAATGCTTGTAGAGTATAACATTGTTGGTGTTTTGTGTATAGATTATGAAGATGTGATCCGAACTATATCTCTGAATCTATCTTGTTCACTCCAAAGTATCATTTAATTGTGGTTTTCATAAAGGGGTATCATATTTTTTCAATATTTTCAGATACACTAAAAATCTGTCATACAGCTGGTGATACTGGTAAAAGTGCTACATTATTCTCTGATATACTTAGTACTTCGTTGTTTCTCCTAAGTTTGATTGTTTGCTTGTTTGGAGTTTTACTCCCATTCTTTCCTAATGAGTGTAAATTATGGCTATTGTCAAAAATTCTACGTGAACCGCCAAAGTCAGATTTCAACACCGTTATTTCAAATCCGCTTACTTTTCCATATGAGACACGAAATACCTATGGATATTCTAAATTTTATAAGCAAACCTCTTCGCATGATACTACTTTTTCGTGGACTAATGAATGCCCCGTAGCTGATAATCCATCAAAGGATGAATTTAATCGTCAAACTCGTCTGGCATTTTTCGCTTTCCGAGCGGCTTTCCGTAGTATTTGCAAGGCGATTATTGCTTTGGATCCGTCTGTTGCAATTGCTAATATGTCATGGTTTTGCCTTGGTAAGCGTTTTAAATAGTTGAACTATTTTGTTTGATGTTTCTGGCGGTTGCACTAAGTAAAACTGTACATCTTGATATTTACAGTATACTTACTGAATAAGTCATTTATTGATTCTGTGTTCACTAAGTTGATTTCGATGCTGTTATGTTCCTAATTGTATATGATACGCACGCTTAACTAACAGCTAACCCGCACACCAGATACCACCGACACCGAACCTCAGACGAAAATAAAAAGGACTGGCGTAGGTGGAAAAGCTCATTGTCTCCGAAACAATCCAAAATAACCGTTAAAAGAAAATCCGTATATATGTCATAAGCGAGTTTGTGCAGAATTTGAAACATCGACATGGTAAAAGCAAGCGTCAGCCAGTCAACGAATTCACGTTGGTATTCATCATGGACTGATATCAGTTAGAGAAACATGATGAATACCAACCTAAAGTCAGTAAATCCCCAAAAACCTCAAAAGTCAATTAATCTAGTGCTCATTGGTGACTAGCTTCGAGAGGTGATTCCTGAAGTTCCAATGAGAAGGCATGACCACTGAAGCCAACTAAGTCGGACATGAGGACAGTGACTCAATAACGGCATTGGATGGGGGTCGCACTATATCGTGAACTGACAGAAGTAAGAAATATGGATCACTGGATTCCGGCTCAGTGGTGACGTGCTGACCGTGGAACCTGAAGGTTCTGCGTTCGATCCACGGCAAGGCCGTGGGTGCGCACTACTGAAGAGTCCCATATTAGGACGAAGCAGTTGTCCAGTGCTCCCAGGTTTCCAATGGTTCTCCAACTGATGTCAGTCCATGGTGAATACTAACATTAAGTCAATAATTTCCCACAAACCTCGAAATTGAATCGGCGAATTACCTTGAAAAAAGGGGAAGTGAACTACTGACCATGGTGTAAAAAGGTTGGGAAAACAATAATTTAGAAATACAGAGATTAATAAATAATGTTGTATGCAATTCTGGGATCTCAAAAGAGATTCATTTGAGTCTTTTTCGGTTTCAACATTATGTTGCTGTAAACAAGTGTGCCCTGTTTATAAGCTGAATGTTTTTATCCTCTGAATTGAAAGAAATTCTGACATGAATAACCTACGAATCTTATTATTTGTGATATAAGTTCAAGCTGTACTAAGTATTCAAGTAAATATATTACCCACAGGTGGATTCATTAGTAAGAGGGACAAAAAGATGCTTATTATTTGTGAGATATTCAATCACCTATCAGAAGGTGAGTGTACTGTACAACAATTTGCTTTTTCTGGCAGTGTACAGCTTTGCAACATGACTGTTAAAAATGGAAATGATAAAGAGTTTAAGGGCTTTCGATCATCATAGTTGTCTTCGTGACATCATACATAATATATATATATATATATTGGGATTACAGAGTAAGTAGCGTTTTTGAAGAAGAAGAAGAAGAATGCGAATGGGTATATCAGTTTATAAACACATAAGTCGAATGTAACTGGAAAATGTTACCTTCAGTGAGTCGCTTCCTACATCAACACTCCATGTTGACTGGTTAAAGCTTAGGGTGGAAGAAAATTGACGGTCGTCAAAAGAAGATATGGCATAAATCTGTAGGGTTTTTAACTGTTGTTCCGAACTTTGCAGAGAAGTGTAGATTATTTGACTGACATCCTCAAAATTTTGAGAATAGAGGGGTTAGGGATTATTGGTCATTATTCAAAATCAATCTCAATGGTGTAAATGTATTAGCTCCTTTGTTTTAATATTGTTCTGTTCTTGTTATAATTCCTTTCTATTTTGCTGCTGCGAAATATTGCAACTTAAACTGATACACTTCTGTATACGATTGCACGTTGATGCGTTTGTTTGTTTGTTTGTCTAACTGGTTAACTTACAGTGGTTGTTACCTGGTTCGCTATTTATTTGCAAATCAACTTTTTGTTTTCTTCATCCACTGTAAAAGTCACCAAATCCACTGATTGTATAACTTTTTCTTCGTTCACCTATTGGTTCCACCATTCTCATAACCATAGCGTTGGTATATGTTTGACTCAGTAGAGAGAGTTGATATGTGTATTTTTGTCGTATTGACATTTGTAAACTTTTGAAAGTGTATTTATTATTATCATTATTATTACTTGTCCCTTGGGTTCTCAGTGGAACATAGGACTTCAGTAGCACGTCGCCATTTCACTATCTTCTCTGCAATCTTTTGGACCTGGTTCCACGACTGCTCACAAGCTCTCATTTCTTCCCCACGTGATCTTCTGCATGTCACCCTTGGACGCTCAACTCGTAGTTTCCCATTTGGGTTCCACTCGACGGCCTGACTTGGAGCATGATGTTCCTAATCGGTCTTCTGTGTGTATGCCCAATTCAATCCATCTCCACTTTCTTCTGCAAATCTGTTGGGCGATAGGTTCTTGGTTGTTCGTTGCCAGCCGCAGTTCCCTGTTGCTTATTCTTATTATTCTGGATATCTGACCTTCAGTATCGAGTGAGCATAGGTGGCAGCTGTTGATGAATGTCTGTAATTTGTTGGAAATGCTTTTCGTGACACGCCAAGTTTCTGAAGCATCACATGGAAGCACTGACTTACTTGACTGGATTGGTGTTGAAAATGCGGATGTTGTTCTTTGTGTTGAGTGCAGAAGATCTCCACACTGGTTTCAGATTAGTGAAGGCCTGTCTTGCTGTCTTTCCGATGCTGGATTTCACGTCCTCGTCTGTGTCTGTACCACTGCCTGTAGTTGAAACGATGCTGCCTATGTAGATGGATAGGTGAAGGAGACTACTTCCTTTAGGTGCTTGTTGTTGTTGGTTGGGTATCTTCATCACCTCTGTCTTTTCTGTGTTCACTTGATGTCCCGTCTTCACTGCCTTGTCTCTTCTGTCAACTTGTTAGTTTTCGCTTGTAGTTCTTCGAGTTTGTGCAACAAGACATTAGACATAAATCATCATCATCATCATCATCATCATCGGCGGCGGTGGCGAAATCCAAATCTTCTTCTGGAGTCTTTTCATCGGTCCACCCAGCGTGTGCCCATCTTCTCCCAGCTCCTCACAGTTTGTTGCACGGTCCAGTCCAGTCGATCACCATCAGGAAGATGACTGGTGATAGAAGGCGGCAACCTTGTCTTCCTCCTGTCTTCACTTCAGAGGCGTCACTCAGCTTTCCATTGTGAATCCCTTGGCATGTGGCGTCGTCATCCATCATATAGCTGTTGAATAAGATTGATAAATGTTTGTGGCAGTGAGACTGTGGTGTTGAAGGAGCAGCTGCCAAATTACTTCTCGGTCGCTGCTATCAAAGACTGGTCTTAGGACTGGCTAGTGAAGTAGTAAACTAGGCTAGGTTGAAAAATTGTGTATACATATTTGTAAATATGCTGAAACAGCATGCTGTTGTAATCTCAAGAAATATTTTAAATTTGTATAAACTATGATCAAGATTTGACGGAATAATGGGCTCCGAGTAGTAGGTTGACATTAGATATAGTTTATATTTGTATAATTCACAGCTTGTTTGAAGTAAGAAAATAATTCCAACGTTTCGCACTGAAGTTTGTTCCGTGCTCTTCTTCAGGGAAATAATCAGAAATTAAAATATCAAACATCCACTCCTCTTCGTATAGTCATTGTTTTTCTAAAATTTGATTACTAGTCATTCAGTGTGAAACTGTATGTCCCTTGTTGTGTAGTGAGTGTATGTGTATATTTGTTGTATTTCATAGTCCCCTTTCTTGTCAATAAGAGGCAAAAATCAAACAGAAATAAGGGGGAACGCTATGCTCTGAAGCAGTTATGCAAATATAAAATTATTATATTAACCAGAACACACAAAGGAAACATCATAGTGATAATGAACGCAACTGATTATGAGAACAAGACGTGAGAACATCCTAGTACTGGTCCTTATGAGGATAAATCCTACAAAATCGCAAGCCGAGCTGAACAAACTGAAAGCTGAAACTAACAAAGTCATGCAGTCTACACGGGATAAGTGAGCTGCATCTCTGTGGTTCTCATTAGCAGCACCAAAAAGTTGCAACTCTATGTAGATTCCATGGGCTACTGAAGATTCACAAGACAAATATACCTCTAGGATCAGTTGTGGATTTCACTAACTCACTGTCATATTATTTAGCAAAATGCATATAACGATTGTTAAAACTGTACGAAATATGCTACGGTATTGTTTACTGTATCACTGCTTGCTGTGTATCGAGTAAACAAAGCTAATATGGAATACATCAGACTTCATTTAAAAACTACTTATATCAGATACTGACCTTAAGTTTATGATGCCAATTAGATCCAAGCGGAATTCTAAATTCCCTAGAATTGTGCCTACAATCGACCGTATTTACGTCTATAGGAGATCTGTACTGGCAGATAGATGGGATATCATTTGGATCTCCAGTATCCTCAATAGTAGCTAACTTGTTCATGCACTCATTAGAGACGAATAGCAAAATGTTCTACGCCTCCGAGAATTTGGTTGGGGAACGTAGACGATACGTCTGTTGTCATTAAACGTAGCAGTCTGGAAGAGCTATTCCGGCGTATAAGTGGGAAAATTGAATCAAACTTACCAAAATTGGCCTTTATGGACTGCATGGTGGAAAACTACGTGTATAGTATATCAAAGACAACAATGTTTAGGAAATCAACACATTCTGATAGATCCTTTGGTTATCAATTTGCCTATCCTTTTACCACTAAAGTAACAGTTTCACGAAATCTGGTCAACAGAGCTAACCGTCTTGTTACAAAAGAAGACGATAAAAGAGAAGAGTTAAAGTCAATTTGCTGTAGACTGGAAGCAAATAAATATCCCAAAGATTTCGTAAGAGGAATTTTGGAAGATGAAATTAAGAATGTACCGAAATTCCCTCCAAACAACAGAATCAACTTATAGCTTAAGGAGACGTTAGAAGAAACTAGAGGAATTCTCAAAATATATAATACAAAAGTCTGTTTTCGTAAAACATATGCCCTCCGTTTTAAAGTTAAAGACGTAGTGCCAAAAGGAAATCAACAAAACTGGGTCTATGAAATCAAATATGCTGATTGTAATGCAGTATATTTGGGGTAGACAACTAGACAGATAAGTGTAAGATTGAGAAAGCATACACTATATCTAAAGCAGTTTCCAGAGACCTCAGGAGAGGCTAAGAAGCTAGAAAATAAATCGGCAGTTTCTCTACACTCCATAGAAATGGGTCACAAAATTGACTTTGATGGACCCAAGGTTTATCACCAAGGTTTTTGGTTATTCTGGAAGGATTGACAGCCGAAACCCTAAATAGATGGGCAGGTTCAGATGGTTTGGACAAACGAAGTGGAATACAGTTAGCTGCCTCTTGGCAATTACTAATTAGTAAGCGGAAAGAGTGGCTGTAGCATTTACAATCAACATCAGTCTCATCTTTATTATAAGTGCATCAACAACAAACAATCTGAATTGAACGTAAGGTATCCTAACCAACAATGGGCTGGATGATCTAAAAAACTTGGATATCGAGTTAGTATAGATTCATCGCATAAGGTGTATTTTTACTTGCGTAATCCTGGCGTAGTTTATTAGAACAAATAACAAAATAAACAAATATTTTTTATCATTCCTCAACGTTTCTATCTTACTAGGAAGATTCTTTTCAAGAATATGAATCAGGTTAATATTCAAGTTTTGGTGCAGAAGGTGACCTTTACGATCATCCACCCACATCTGGATTGCTTTCTTTCATTAATATTATCATCACCATCATTACTACCATTCATTCCAATTTTACTCCGACAAATCAATGAAAAATTCTGGTGACTAGTATGTGCGACATTTTTGTCTCGTATTTACAGTGAAGGGGAATATGAATTATAAAACACGCTAATCATACAACAAGAGACATACAATTTCACACAATGATTGGTAAACATTGTTTCTTAAAAACAATGTCTGTACAAGGAGGTTTTTATTTTGGTAATATTTCGAGAAGAATAAAAACTTGTCATTGTGTCAGCTTTGCATTAAAAATCCACTTATAATAATAATAATAATAATTTACTCTCGCAAATACAAATACACATCAGTTTACAGGAATGATTGTATACTTAAACCAATTTAACAGTTCTGGCTGATACGACTTCATTGCTCACAGATAATCAGCAGATTTAAATAAGTAGAGTTAATGTACCTCTGTACAATAAGATAACGGATAGTTAAGGTTTCTACACAGTAATTTTTCACGGGGATGAATTTTATTCGTATCCCCCTCCCCCCAAAAAAGAATATGGCCTAAATGTTAAATGTGTTATCAAAAGTAATTCACTTTTAATACATAGAGATAGGGAGAGACAGAAAAATGATAACATGAACGCTGTATAATTTACCAACATCAAAAATTGTCTGATTAAATATATCTTGTAAGCTCAAAGCAGCAAAATATGTTGATCATATTAATTAAATTGGTTCAACTTCATAAAAAGTAAAAATTTGTTTAGTTGTACATATGGAACTGAGTAAACAAATATGAGTGCAAAATGAGAAGAAGCAATAGGCAGTTGTTTAGCGCGAAAATTCCAATACTTTCGTTACAGAATGGCAAGTGATTGGAAGGAACACTAAAAGTTAAGCATGAGCATAAAGACTACGGAACTTGTAAAATACAAGAGTTCTTTAGAATAAAGAACTCACAAGCAGCATGGTATTAACAGTTTGACCATATAAAAAGGCATATCATTACGATGTTAGATATTAATGTTTGAGTATATAGTCTCATAATTAGATAGAAAATGGTTAGCCTGATGAAGTATTGGAATAAAATATTGTTTCGCCACTTATTGACTTAGTTCCGGGTGGAGAAAAATATAGTTTTCCTTCAGTAGTTCAAATAGGGATATCATTTTCATCATGCTTGATATGGCTCAAAACCGATGTCAATGGCACAGATGTAGACACACATTATCCTCATGTTAACGCCATATTGAATCTCACCATTTTCTCATTCTTCCCTTCTCTCTTTTAATATTTTATATTTCTTCTGACTGAATTTTCGTCTCTTCATCTTCCACTTCACTGACTTTTTACTTGATGTACTGATATGAGCCGTGACAACACGGACCGTTACACAGTAATGCCTGGTCCTATGTTGATTTGGATGGATGATTCTAGGTCAGTATCTGCAGAAGGGAAGAGAAAATTAAAGATGAGAGAACCCGAATACATTAATTTATTCTATAAATGCATAAACTTTTCATTGATATATTTATACAAAGAGGATTGGACAAGGAGAATTCAGTTAAATATCTCCGATGTTTTAATTTTTGATTATTTCGCTGAAGAAGCTCGAACTAGATTTACGTGTAAAACGTTGAAATTATTTTATTTCAAACAGACTAACTTACGCAAACAGAAACTATACCTAATGTCAGCATTATAAAGGATTCATAAAATGTAAATGTTTGACTTATTTTGTTTAAATGGATTAGAGAATTGGTTGAACTCATTTGTATATGGCATTTTTCATTACTGTGTTCAAACCTGTACAGTGAGAAATCATAGGAAAAGCAATATTTTTCTCGTTGAAGAAGAATTGATCATCGTGACTCAGTGGTCTAGTGGGTAACATTTTGGAGTTTGAAGTGATGAGTCTGGGATTCGAGTCTCAGTAGGAACAAAATCACTCATTGGGACACAGGTGTACACCCAGCTGACGAGCCCCAAATAGGACGAAAAGCGCATCTTTGATTTCACTGTTAGCCACTCTCCATCAGTGATATAAAAGGAAGGTTGTTTACTAGTTTTTCATGTAGGTGACAGGGTATAAAATATAACTTCTACAATGTGTATACATCCAGTAAACTTTTTTGTCAATTTTTTATCCAACTCGTGTGTCTTGATACGTCTAGCTTGGAACCTTTCTGTGTCATATCAATGTGACATTCATTCACCTTCTAATAGTCCTATTTAACAGCTTCACCTTATCTACATATTTTTAGGTTTACTGATCATGTATCGTTGGATGACCAGAAGATAACTGCTATAGAAATAATGCATTCAAATAACTAGCGGTTCAAAAAAGTGTTCTCTATTTGCTGAAACTGATCAGTATGAAAAAGACATCATCATTTTTGTATTAAATACTCTTTGAGGTCTATCCGGATGTAGTGTTCTGACGACTGACTGTTTTACTCACTGTTGTTTACTGATTATTTCATACTAGATACTTGTCTAAAAAATGATGAAATAAATTGTTTTTCAGTTTAATTTACATATCTTTTTACAAAGGTGTCGTATTTATTACAAAAAATAACAACCCATTGTATTCAGTTGTTTATATTACAATTATTCTCTCCTGTTACACATTTTAAATGGAATTAGTTATCATTGAATTTTTGTAAAATGTTAGAAACAGCTGTTAATCACCTTTTATAACTGTGATTGTTTCTTACATTGACATCAATTCAAGTTGTTCAAGTCTCTTGGATTTATTTCTTTCATTTGAATGTTTTATCTAAGATTTATATAAATATATACATATATATATATATATATATATATATATATATATTATATATATATATATATATATTGCAGTATACTTATGTTATTATAAAAATATTGTATAGGTCAAATGACTACTTTTACATTCTTTTTCATTTCATCAGATCTATTCTCTTCACAATAGCCTAATAATAATTGTGATATTTGTTCCCAAGAAATTATCATTTGCATTTCACAGTTTTACTTAAATGAATAACACTAGAGAGTTTTATTTGTGTGTACATTTTTGTTTTTTCGATCAAAAAAATAATTCCCACCTTCTTCATTGTTATACTGTTGTATTAGTGTACAGTAGTTAATTGTTCTCTTTCATCTCTCCCTTAACCTTATTATTCAAAGATTATTTACTAGTGAAGATTATTGAAGATATGATCTATTATTGGTGAAAATAGTTTTTACATGGGTATGGTGTTTTCTTATTGCTTTTCTTTCAGTTTTAACAGTTAGTCTCCCTATCATTGTCTCTCTTATTCTTTTTTCTGTCAGCTTGTTTTGTGCCTTATCTACCGCTTTTTCCTATGAAATGGAACAGAGCATTTATCTTAATCCTTAACTGTACATGTACATAGTATATGCTTATAATCAGTCGTTTTCTTATTACATCAACACTGGTGTTTGTTTTTCATTTGTTTATATTTGACAGTGATGTTGCATTTTACTTATTTGTTTCTGTGTGTTTGTGTGTGTTTTTGTCTGCCTGTTTGTTTTGAAAGTTTTGTCTACCTTCATTGAAGTATATAATATTTCTATTATCCCTGAAGTGCATGCCAGAGAAAAAAATGAAGTATTCTAAAGCGACAAAAAAAAGAATTCGGTTTGTGGACGTTTTTCTCTTGCCATTGGTCTTTTTTGTTTTACTTCAGTCAACTTTTCTGGCAACTAAAAGAGAAGATATTGTTGATGTATAGATTTGTATATTGGATTTTAGTTTACAATGAGGCTAAAAGTCATCCATAGATTGTGTGGAAATTCATATGTTCTGTATGCAAACATTTTGAAGTGAAAACTGAAATCGTGAATCCTTTTTTTGCTGTAGTTTAGAGCTTCAATTGATTCACTTTTATTTATGGGTGTCATTTTTCATCAATAACTGTACTTTTACTTTCCACTTAAGAAATGAAAGAGGAGCGAAAAATATGTATTCAGAATACAGGAAGTACGCATCTTTTCACTGAAGGCTATAACCTATATCAAGCACGATAACACCCAAGGGTGACTTGTAGACTTATCCGGTGTATTGGAGTGTATTGAGCCGACTCCCATTGGTCGAAATATTTAACTTTCAATTAGTTGGTCACAGGTTAGGACATCGATTCACCTACTGAGATTTGAACAGTCAGTTTCACAAACACCTATACAGTTGTTGTCGCTCATTGCCCAGTGTATGGACGTGCGAATGATTGTTGATAGAGTTTAGTTTATATAATAGTCTGTAAGTTGCAGTTAGATAGGTGTGGCTGATTGTTTATTACGCCCTCGCGTGTTTGCTAATACAGTTGACTCTGAATATAACAATATGCTCAACTGAGTAATGGTTGAATCCTCACATGTATTCCATAATTCAGTCTGCTTAAACACACTACAGTATTGGGGTACAGAATTTTACTTGAAAATATTCATAATAACGTGAATTGTGAGAACTGCGATATGTAATTTCCTTACGAACACCAGTTGGTTGTTGTTAAACGTTATTAGTATTTTTCTAGCTCGACATAAACCCTATGAATATGTTGCACAGTGGTCGATATGCGTCGGGCTGGTTTAATACTTTGTTTTCAGGGAGTTGTAATTTAAGGATGCAGTTTGCGTGATCTAAATTTCTAACCCTATCACCCTTGCGTGTTGGTAAAATATTTATTCAATTGAAAATGTTTTCCAAATTACTTCTCAGTTATTTGCCTAAGAATGATTATTTAAAAGATGTTAAAAATTCTGCAAGCATAGGATGAAGGCAAATGAGTACCGTTAGAAAAAGCCAAAACCTTAAGAGTAAGTTTTTCGAATCTTTGTATACACATAAGCACTCAGTACATTGACTTGTGCAAAATGAAAGTTAAGGATATTCAGAACTTTTTTCGTCAATTGTAGATTTCTTTAACTCGTTTACTTTGCCTGTTATCTGTCATTCATCTGCATCTTTTACTCATTTGGCTAAAGTGTGCAAAATTATCATTCATTAGTGTAAAAACGATTGAAATTTCTTTACCTCAAGGTGTCACTATCTTGGAAAGCCATTTTCATATGAATTCTTATGCATTAGATGATATCGAATTAACACTGAAACTGTAACTTTGCAATTTGACTACTTACTACTTTTCTAAGGCGTCATATGTCCCGTCGGTGTCTTTTCAATGCATCTGATATCTGCTGATTTTATCTGCGTTGATGTAGAGTTATTC